AATGTGAAAGGTAGGGACGTTCTGAGCCAAAAAATTAAAAGTATGGACATTTTGCACAAAAACGTGCAAAGGTAGGGATGTTTTGCGCCAATTACCCTTAAGATTTTTGTGAAATTTTCCCATGATTTATTAAGTTTGTTTTCGATGTTTAAAAATTTGTCGAACAGAGTAGCACAAATCTCAGATTCGAAAGTGTTATATACAAGCACGAAAGTGTTATATACAAGCACTTTCTTATTTCAAGCGTTTCATTTTGCTATCTAGACCTTAATGGGTCATGTACATGTTCAACATGTAAGAAACTTAGCATTCATTTGATTTAGTTAAAAAAATTGATAAAAATTTAAGTTAAAGCCAATCATCTCTCAGTATAATCTCTTTATGACACGACTCAATAGATGAACTACAGTGATTTATTTTATAATTTTAACTTTAGTGCTTTGTTTATAACTCTGGCAGGCATAATGCTTGAAGATTGCAGATTTTAATGGTCGAACATGATTTATATGATATTGCATGGATTATGGTTGTTTTGTAGAAGTTAAAGTCCATATTTTTATTAAAATCAAAGTCAACAATTAATTTTTGTTTTATAGAAATTAAAATTTAGATTTTTATCAAAATCAAAATCAATAATTAATTTTAACTAGAAATTTCATGAGATCCACAACTTTTCAAGTTTCATCCACGCATTTCATTAACATAAATCAAAATCTCCTTTAATCCTCACCAAACAGATGTATAGTTTCTTAATGTAAGGTGATGTGTTAATTGTTGTTGCGTGTGGTTTAAATTTTATTATGTCTTACATCTCAATGCAGTACAACACACGATCAATTTTTTTACACCTACATCATTGGTTTACATCTTTGTTTACCCTCCATGATGAGGTATACATTTTTGCCATTAAATTAAGAGTTATGCTACATGTACAAAGTTGGTTGGCAAAATAACANTTACATGAACCCGAGTTATGCTACATGTACAAAGTTGGGTTACAAAATTAGTTGACAAAATCATATCTACACCAATCATTTTAAAAATAGATTTTTAAATTATTTGAAATCAACAGTCTGAATTTTGTCAACACACTTTGTAATCCAACTTTTGTAACTCAACTTTGTACAAATAATTTTATTGTTAAATTAAACAACATTTAAAATAAGGAACATGTTATGTGTACATACGTGTACACACAGTGCGGGCCCCACCCCACTCACTTTATGTCACTCCCTATGGATCAATTTATGTACATATAGAATAATCCTTAAAATAATCAATTGCATCAACTTTTAGACATCATGAAATGCAATCCATAATGTACAAAAATGATGTACAAGTAGCTTAATTCGTACATGACATAATTCTTTAACTCGGAATGAAAAATATATATGTCAAATAAACATGATTAACATTATACTCCCTTAGGAAAAGAATAAAAACATTACACTTTTAAATTTAGTTAGCTTCCCGTTTGATAATCATTATTTTCAACCTTTTTTTACATACTTATTTTCAATCATATTGACGCAATAAAATATTTTAAATGCAAATTCAAAATTTCCATACTTTTGAACCACTCATTCTCCTAAAAATCACTATTTACAATATTGTTTTTTGAAAATAATGACCACCAAACAGTGGCTAAATAACAACACGTCTCTTGAGGTAATTGAATATTACAATCGCACTTCAGCCTGGTAAAAGAATTGCGAAGTTCATGTTTTCACATGGGTAATTATATTCACAAAATAATTTTTATTAGTTGTATCACATTTTAATTAAATTTAAGGTCCTCAATTTTTGTTTATTATAATGTATATATTTTTTTATATATAAGTAGCAAAATCTGTTTCAAAATACATTTTTCTCTTATTTTTGACCACATATTTTTCAATAAAATAATATTACACACAAATTCAAAACTTCTTTTTTATTTTTTTAACCATCCATTCTCCATCAATTTATTATTTAAAATTGTATTCTTAGCCAAATAATAGGACTCACACATGCAAGTATCTTCAAGATTTGCTCAAAATCATGCTAAATGTACAATCATAATTGACAACTTTTTTAACAATCACGAATTGATAAGAATTTATATCATTCATTTTAAAAATTAACACGAATATTGACAACATATAAATTGTCGTCAACAAATAGCTTTAGGGTAATTATATTACCACAACAAAAGTTAATTGTTACACCACAATTTTAATCAAATTTTTTATTTATTTAAATCACCATAAATGGAATTACTTAATTACCCACAATTTTATATAAATTCTTAACATAAACATTTTTTTTAAGTAACAATACACCACAATCATCTTCTTTTATTAATTCACTTTAAAAAGTTAATTTCTTGGAATAAATAAGAACATTACAGATCTCGAATCAAAAATGAAAAACTGAAGGCAGGAAGAACAGATCCTATGACTCTTTCATCTCACTCATAATTCCTGAACCTACAGGAGGACCGCCGTCGTCGTCCTCATCATCATCGGAATTGCCAGAATCATCGCTATCTTCATCCTTGACTGGACCATGGTGCCTGTCTGTCTCTAGTTTGCTTGCAGAGAATCCAATTGCGCGTTCCAAGTTCCGTGGAAGATTTGCTGCATCAGTATTTAAATTTTTCACATCGAATGGAGGATTTACTAAATCCAGACTTCTCCTTTCAGAGTAAAAAGGATAGAATAATAGTTGTTCTGGATTGGATATATTATTTTTGATAATATGCGGGTTGGGGGTGGAAGTGTAAGTGGCTGCAGCGGCAGGACGGAGGAGGCGGCCGTATATTAGGCTTTGGAGTGAAGAATTGCTGAGGTTTGGCACCCTCGATGCGGCCATTGACGCAGCCCATATACTTGAAGAAGTTGGGGAAATCAATTTTGATGTTTCTCCTCCTCCTCCATCTGCAAACAACTCTGACTGTTCCAATGGCAACACAAACTCAATTTGTACTCGGTTTCTCTTTCAATTCACCACCAACAATGCAATATATCAAGAAACAATAAAAAGATTCTATAACCAAAATGGTGAAAAATGGGAATCCTGTCAAAATTGAGGGACATGGGCAAATCGCAACAAATCTTGATTATATTTTAGTTGAGATTATACCTTGGGAAAAGACAAAAGACAAATCTCAATTGCCTTTAGTTTGCCTTTACCCACGGTATAATCTCATCACAGCAAACAAAACCATCCTGGAATGCCCTAGGAGAAATTCAGTCTTAAGTTGGATCCTGTGATGTATTCTTCTTTATCTTCCCCTCTTTGGATAAACAATTAAGAAGGGAAAAAATAATTTCAGAAAATCTTTTCATTGTAATGAAAATTTCCAGTTGAAAGGATGGGAAAAATAGGGATAATATTATGATGATGGGTACACCACAATACTACTTTCTTTTTTTAGATTTTATTTGGTGAGGATATAGTTGTAAATTTGTTGTGGTGTCTCTATTATATTAGAAATAAATTTTAATTGTGGTGCAATTATAATGTGGTGTAGTTATTGAATTAAGTGGTGGTAATATAATTACCCTTTTTTTAACCATACATTCTTAAAAAAATTATTATTTTAAAATATATTTCTTTCTACCCAAACAAGGGCTAAGTGTATTAGACTTCAATGAGTGTTAGAGATTAAAATTTTATATTATCCCTTCTTTGATCCTCATTATTTTCAAAATGTATTTTTTCTCTTTTATTTTTAACAACACAATTTTCAATAAAATAATATGATACGCAAATCTAAAATTGTTCATTATTTTTTAATTACACATTTGCTATCAAAATACTACTTCAAAATACATTTTTGACAAAAATGGGGTTCAAACACGTTCTTAGTTTAGTATACAATATTTACTAGACAACATACATTACAAGAAATTTCACGTCATAGCGATAAGAATCATATGCCATGTCTCGAGTCCGTGAGGAGGATGAAAAACTCGTCATTTTAGCTTTAGCTTTTCATGTAGCAAATTGGTTTGCATTTTACATAATGAACGAGAACAAGATGAAAAGATACAACTCATCCAAGACATTCATGTGGAATTCAACATCCTCTTCCGAATTTTAGTCGCGATTGATCGATTGAAGTACATGGAGAGGCTATGGTGAAGGGATCAATGTGTCATCAAGTTAAAGAAATTTCAAGAAGCTCATGACAAGGCATAAGAACGCCAGTATGACGGGGTTTAGAAAATTGTAGAGGGGATAAGGACTTTTTATTAGAAAAAAGTGAGGAACCCTTACTAAAAATGGGAATTTTTAGGTCGATTGTGTTTTGCCTGTAGTCAAGGGCAGAGCTAGCCATTTTAAGTAGAGGGTCTCAGAATTGAAGATATAGAGATGAAGGCGTGGGGACGAGGGTTGCCCCCAATTTTTTTTTTTTTTAATACCTTATTAACAAAAAAATCAAAAA